GGTGAACAAGATAAATTAAAACATACTGATAAGCTTATACTCATGTATAAGGGTATCTGCTACTTTTGCAAATAAACGGCAATGGTTGCGAACTTCGTATTTTAACCACGCAGAATGTTTATGCATCCAAGAGACCTTCTTAAAGCACTCAGACGCATTCAACTTACCACCATTCTCTATTTATCGCCAGGATCGTGATGGACAACGAGGCGGTGGTCTCATCAATGCAGTTAATAGTCGTTATCCCTCCAGACGAATACAACCTCCTCCTACCCCCTCCATAGAACATGAATGCATTATAGTAGAGACAGGTGTCGGACCACAACTACTAACTATTATTAACATCTATTCCCTCCCCCCCAGGAAGGCTGGATCTACATTGGATTGAACAAATTGTCCACCAATCAAAACCACCATATCTGATAGTAGGCGATCTCAATGCACGCCATCGGGCCTTGGGCAGCTCCAGTGACTCACCAGGGTTTGCCCAATTCCTCGACTATGTAATATCAGAAAACTTTTGCATGTTCAATTTATCGACCCCAACCCGTTTTGACCAGCATCATAGACCATCGCTGCTCGACGTGGCTCTTGTATCTCCAGACTTATATTTACTTTGCTCTCATGAGGTCCATGCGGATAGCTTCGATAGTGACCACGTACCCATAAAAACGGGGCTCCGGTTATGATCTGGATTACTCCCGTCCACGAATTCTTTGGAATGCCTTTCATACTCAAGTCAATGCTACCATAAAAAATAGTGGTAGTAACACAATTACAGAATTCACTTCGACGTGCACTAACACACTACAGGCAAATCGCTGATGGCAAAAATTTCCGAAGGCTAAATACCCCTAATGGTGGTCCTCCTACCTCTCTCACCTACTTGGAAGGAAAAGACAAGCATGGAGGCGGGCCAAACGCTCTGGTGACACGGCCCTTTGGATCAAGTTTAAGAGAACTGCTGCTCACCTCCGACTCACGATTAAGAAGGAATCCAAAAAATACTGGTCTCAACTTTGTTGCTCCTTAGGCTCCTCCCCAAACATCTTTAGGTTACTTTAAAAATCTTCAGCCCACACAATCTCATGTGTCTGACTCCCATCTTATCCTATTGCGGGGAAATAAGCACATCTTTGACGTAAATCAACAGGCTGACCTTTTTGGTCAATTTTACGCCAGAGAACCAATCGTTATGTGCATCCCTTACGACTCCAGTGAATAAGACTCATACTCAGCTCTATCAGAACCTTTCTAACTCGTAGAACTCCAAACAACCATATCCTTAGCCAAATCAACTACACCAGGTTCGGACAGAATCTCAAACCGTATGCTAAAGGGGCTCGATGACGAATCCCTAAACATTCTGCTGTCCCTATTCAACGAATCTTTGTCCTCAAGATCGCTTCCGGTGGAGTGGAAAACTTCTACGGTGCTCCCTTTCGCCAAACCCGGAAAATCACGCCTCAAAACCTCTTCTTACATGCCTATATCTTTAACCAGCACCCTTTGCAAAACTATGGAAAGAATGATACTCAAACGTTTGGTTGCATACCTCGAACATCAAAACTTTCTCCAACCTTATCTACACGGATTAATTCCCCGTCGTGGATGCGACAGTCTCCTTTCGACTCTAGATCATTATATTTGTTTTGCAAAAGCGAACCACTTATTTACAGTCGGAATCTCCTTGGATATCGTCCAGGCCTATGATAACGTCTAGGCAGATGGCCTTGCATACAAACTCTTACAACATAACATCAGGGGATATCCTCATCCTTCGTCACGGATAGATCCTTTTGAGTGCGCTGGGGGCATACATACTCAAGGGCTTTTAGCAGCAGTAAGGGCGTTCCACAAGGATCAGTGCTATCGCCTCTCCTCTTCATCTTATATATAAATGACATCTTTGATATCCTTCACGAAGGCGTCAATTGTTTTATCTCCGCAGACGATATATTCCTTCTAATCTATTCCCCGAACCTGCCGTCTCTAACCCGCAAACTTCAGCTATAATTTCTACGTCTACAGAAGTGGTTAATAGAATGGCACCTTTCTGCAGACATTGGGAAATGTCGAACTATAGATTTTTCCTATAGAGCCATCGAATCCCCTCCCAACCCGCACTTCCAAGGAGAAACCATCATATGGACGCCACATATGCGCATTTTAGGGGTTTACTTTTCATCGAACCAAAGCTACCGCCACCACTTTCAGGAAAAAAGAATTTCAACACTAAAAAAGCTTAACATACTAAAATGTATATCAAGAAACTCATGGGGCGCACGCTCCTTCCACTTACTCCGAATTGTCCAGTCATACATTACGCCTACGCTGGATTTCGGCTGTCACCTGCACTCCCCCGCCAGCAAAAGTGAGCTCAAGATACTCGACACTGTGTGCCATGCCGCCTTGCGGAGAGCTACGGGCCTTCCCAAATGGACTCCACTACCGCTACTTTACCAGGAGGCAGGCTGTCCTAATCTCCAAGAACGCCAGAACATGATCTCCATGCGGTCATAACCATTAATCATATGATTAAAATGCACTATCGAATTCCGAAAATACCCTCAAAAGTCCGTATACATCTCACAAATCTCCCCAATTAAAACAAGAATCTACCACCGATCTTAATACCTACCATATTCTGGGACTTTGTCCGAAATAATTGGCCACACCACACTCTGATCTATACAGATGCCTCCCGAACATCAGACAAGGCAGGAGTGACAATATACAACTCCCGCTCCGGATCAGCGATGTCCGGATTCGTTCCATCCATTTACTCGGTCCTTACAGCTGAGGGAATAACTATATTATTAGCACTTCAAAAATGCTCTGTCCCGCAGTGGACTGATCGTTAAGACACGGTTCCCAGCAGATCACCGAAGTCAAGCATCACTGGCTACGGTCAGTGTGCTGGTGGGTGACCACTTGGATCAGTCTGCGTAGGGACAGAGTGTGTGTGGTATTGGACCTCGTTAAACTGTGCTACCGTAAAGTGCTCGACTTCGCGCGCAGGTCGTCGGGCTACCGAAGCGGGGGTGACATCCCCTCTACAGAGGATCAAAATTGTGATGGCATGTCTTCGGATCATCCTCCGGGATGTTTCCCAGACCGTCGCCAATAGCCCATTGTGCAGCTCTTGTGCGACGTAAATTAACAACAACAATCAAAAATGCTCTACAAGTTCTCGAATTATAATTTTACAGACTCACTCTCTGTTCTGACAGCTCTAAATTCTGCTGCAGACTCTCCACAAGGAATCATACACCAAATTATAGCCTTGATAGAAGCGCTCCCATCCTCATGCCAGTCTGTAGATATAGCATGGGTTCCTGGCCACTCCCGGATTCTCGGCAATGAAATTGCTGACGAGCTGGCAAAAGCAGCACTCTCCAGACCGAGAATTTACGATAGATTTACCATAGAAGATACTTATCAATCAATAAAACGAATCCACCAACTATCCAGGCAATCAACCTTCAAGAGTAGCAAATACTACACCGATTTTCTTCACCTGAGCCAAAATAAAAATGAACTTCTACCCCTCTCCAGCAGGCACCAAGACGTTACGTTCTCTAGAATCCGCACTAGATCCTATCCAACTAAAGCAAAGTTATTCCGTTTTGGACTCGTTCCAGACAACAAATGCAACTGTGGTTCCATCTCCGATATTGATCACACTATTCTAGTATGCCACCTCTTTGATCAACAGTGCACCAGCCACAAAAAACAGCTAGGTCTTGGGGTCTTGGTCTTTCGTACATTAGGTCTTTCGTACCTAATGGAGGCATCAGACAAACGGAAGTCTAAAATCTATCGGCTTACTATGGATAGTGTTTTCAATAGAAATGTAAACAATAACAATCTCGAGCTCGGGACCTACTTTAGTTCCGGTTAAAAAGTTTGCAGCTGCTTACTACATGTTATTCTGATAGGCGATGTTTTCAAACGAATAATTTTGTTTTCAGTAAAAGAAATAAACTAGATAATTTCTGAGCTCAAATCTGCCGTATTTCATAAGATATTAATGTTATTATGTAATTCTGGGGAGTTTGGAGTGAAAATTTGTTTTAGTTATTTTGTTATTTATTATTAAAAAAGATGACATGGTTGCTAGATTTTGAATAACTCGCTTTTTTGGCCGTCTTGATTAGGCCTCTTTCCATTTGTTTATTACTGTTTGTTCGTGTTGCAAGCTGTGCACCATCTTACGTTAGTGTTAACACTTTTAGTATTGT